AAAAAAAAAAAAAAAGAAAAGAAACAGGCTGAAAGTTCAGTGGGTTCGGAGCTGTCAATTTCAAAGTGTCTGGAAGGGGCTGTGGTCCAAGTCTGTCTCTCTATTGGGCCGGGGCTGCCAGGAGCTGGCGGGAGGGAGCTGCCTCTTGCCCACTGCCAGCCTTTGGGCCAGAAGCCCCCAGCCCCTGAACTAATGGGGACTGTCATGTGCCCCTCTCATGGCTTCCTTGGCTGGATCCCAGGGGCTATTTCCACCAGGAATGTAACATGTTGTCCTGAATTTCAGAGCGCCTGCTCTTGAGCACAGCGGAGTGCCTGTCCTTGTTAAGGCATATTTAGGTGTCAGAGCCGAAACCTACCCCAAGCAGGAGGTGGACTTGACCAGAGGAGCCTGTGAAGGGGAGCCTCAGGGGATCCTTGGGGCAGATGGCTACAGGGCCACCTGGTCTCACCAACCTGCGTCCTTTGCCTGGAAGGATGGGCCAGAGCACCCACACCAGGGAGGGAAATCCTGTGGGCCAGCTTGGTCCCCTGGGCTGTGGCCAGGGTCCTATAGAACTTGGGGGGAGGGAGCAGTTCTCAGAGAATCTGCTCTGCCCTGTGGCAGGCCCCATTTCCACCAGCACTGGCCCAGCCTGGCCTGTGACCAGGCTCCAGTACAGCCCTCCTGCCAGGCCTAGGAAAGCCACCAACCTGAAGTTGACCACATGGCCTGCCCTGACCCCTCAGACCAACCTCAGCCATCTCAGGAGTCCCCTGAGAGGGGACGTGGGTGTCAGATAGGGCTGCCTACCATGTGGCTCTGACCTGCCTCTGCCCCCCAGCCGCTGGCACCCCTATAACCTGGCCTCACATGAGGTGTAACCACATGCCCCCCTCCTCCCTCCTTTCAGAAGCCCCCGAGCACCCACGCCATGAAGGAGGAGGCCTTTCTCCGCCGCCGCTTCTCTCTCTGCCCACCTTCCTCCACGCCTCAGAAAGTGGACCCCCGGAAGCTCACCCGGAACCTGCTCCTTGGTGGGGAGAATGAGCTCTGCCCTCTCAGCCCAGGTTAGTGCCATCTGCACGGGGTGGAGCAGCCTGGTGCTGTGACCTCACCTGGCCTGTCCCCTCCCAGCCCAGATTAGTGCCAGCTGCACGGGGTGGAGCAGCCTGGCGCTGTGACCTCAACTGGCCTGTCCCCTCTCTGCTCCTTGAGGTCAGGGGAATAACATCCTTGCCAGCTTACACCCCCTAGTGCTGGGGCTTATGTGGGTCGGAGGAACAAAAGGGTGACAGCTCCATGGAAGGCCAGATAAGAAGTGTGACTGCAGAGCCCGTGTGGCCCTTCAGCCGTGGTGGTCAAGGAGGGGGCTCCCACAGCCCAGCCTCAGAAGCCACTGGTCATCCCAAACATAGGATCCAGGGACAGGTGTTCTGAGTGAACATGGGCCAGCCAGCCACTTTACCTCTCCAAGCCTCAGTTTACTCATCTGCAAAATGGAGACAGTATTAGTACTGCTCTCAGCTTCCAAGGGTCCAGGCTCTGGGAGGGAGCAGCTGGGGCCAAGCCTGCTTTCCTGTAGCTTGCAGATCAAGTGCTGAGCACAGAAGGGGAGGGGCCCAGCCCCTGGTCTCCCTGTCACCTGACCTTCCTACCCCATCCACATCTGATTCTTTCTGCTGGTGTCTGCTGTCTCCCAGCAAGCCCAACCTTTCCTTCCGAGGGCCCCTGAGGGGTGGGAGGTGGTGGCCAGTGCCAGCCTGGAGGCCAGGCTTGCCCATCCCTCCTCTCACTGCCTGCTTTGGGGTGAACCTGAGCCCTCCCTGGACTGCCCCAAGCCCCTGGGGAGAGTAGGAGACCATTGCTCAGACTTGCAGGGGCTTAGGACCATCTTAGCTAAAGTCCATCCAATAGACAGGGAAACCAAGGCCTAGAGCTGAGAGTGAAAGTCACATGGAGGCCCAAGGGTCGGGGGGAGGACAACAGCTGGGGCAGAATCTCCAGCTCAGGCCTGTGCAGTGCTCATGGGAGGGAAGGGAAAACGGATGGTCCCAACTGGCAGTCAGATCCAGAGAGACTTGGTCCTCAGAGCTGCCGAGCAAAGAGCCCAGCTGGGTGAAGGCCTGCTCTGGGGAGTGGAGGAGGCCACAGGTCCCAAGGCTGCATAGGACTATGGACATACGGGCTACTGGGGGATCCAGCACTGTCCTCAGGGTGCTCAGAGCAGCCTGAGTCCTCCTGGCTTGGGAGGCAGTGCCAAGAGGAGGCCCCTGAGAGTGAGAAAAGCCCCTCTGGCCACCCCTGGCCTCTGGGCTGCATCATGGGGTGCTTTGCAGATGGGAAGCAGAGGCTCCTGGGGCTTAGGCTGGGGCAGCAATGTCTAGCAACCTTGAGCTATTCCAGGGCCTTCAGGCAGAACCACTTCCTGGGGTCACCAAGCCAGTTTTTCTGGTCCTCAGGGCTCCAGGGAGGTGGGTCTGCCTGGCTCTCCCGCTGGTCTCTGGGCATCCCTACTCTCACCCACCACGGTGGTCCTCATGGGCAGCCCTTCCTACCTCCCCTGTCTTCAGTAGAGGACCTGGGTAACACCCCAGTGCACACATGCACATACTCTCAAACACGCCCCGCTGCAGGAAGCAGGCAGACGCTCCTGCCAGGCTTCAGGCCTCCCCTATAGCTGTCCCCTCTACCTTTGGCCCAGAAATGTACCTTCTAAACAGATGGAACCAGAGAAAGGGAGACCATTTCCCCAGAACTGAACCCAGACACCCTGTCACCCTCCCTACTCCCTCCCCAGCTGGCCTGTCCTGTCCAGGTAGGATGTGGGGCCAGGACTGACACTCTTCCTTCCGAGAGTCCCAGCATTCCAGCAATGGTTTCAGGCCCGAGGGACACATTGTCCAGGCACCCTCAACCCACTGTGTGGGTCTGAGCGCCCAAATCATATTCTATGTAAGCTGGGGGACTTGGCCTCACAGACCCCAAATTTCACGCCACACCAGGCCCAGGATGCTGGCTTCCTCTCAGTGGGTCTTGGAGGCTTGGCCCGAGGTCCGCAGGCCTTCCCATGGTGATGCTTACTGGCATTTATTACACCCCTCAGGCAGAATCCTGCAGCCCCTGCCACCACCTGCTGGCTTCCTCACCCTCCCAGCTGCCTGCACCACCCGTCCCTGCCACACACATTAGGCAGCCCAGCCCCACCCACCTTGCGAGAGGCCTCACCCCACCTGCCCTCTTGCAGGGAACGACGTGGAGCCCAATGGCCCGTTGCTGCTGAGGGATGAAGGGCCCCCGACTCCAGGCTCTGCCACAAAGGTGCCACCGGTAAGAGCTCGGCTGTGGGAGGACCAGTGGGCAGGGGCCTGGCCCAGGACATGGCAGGAAATGTCTGGGTACAGGGATGGCAGGGGTGCCAGCCAGGCCTGCCTTTGCCACTTGTCCCAGCTGTGCTGCTTCAGGGAGTGTTGCTGAACAGGAAATGGGGTCACAAATGTAGGTTTTTAGTAGTGGTGTCATGAAAGTTGCCTTCTTGGGGTTGGGATGTGGGCTGCTAGGTGATGGTCAGGGGCAGAAAATAACAAAAGGAGGCCCCGGGGCCCTTTTGCTAAAGGGAGACCCGCCTAGACCACTGAGTGCGTGCCATCCTACCTCTGCCCATGCCGCCTCTGCTGGACCTACACCCTCCCCAGGCGAGCCCTCCTGCAGGACCTCCAGTAGCAGGACCCCACGGCTACCCTCCCTCCCCGTGGGGTCCCAGTCCAAGGGAGCCATAGCCCCCAGATGCTGACCATCGATGGTGGCCCTAGGTCCCAGTGACAAGGCCCTCCCCCACCTTGACCACCTAGTCAGGTGACCTTGAGTGATGACCTCCCTTCCTGGCCCCTGTTTCCTCACTTATCAAACAAGGAAGTGGTGTTTGGAGGGTCTATCCCTGAGTCAGCCTCGAGAAGAAAAGGACAAACATTTGCTGGATCCCTGGAGGATCCCTGCTCCTCCCTCATCTCCAGGCTGCCGGGCCACTGGGGGCAGCTGGCACCCCTTTACACCCACTGTGTGATTGATTGATTTGCTGGTCTGGGTAGTATTATGGTAGAATACACAGAATATAAACTTTAGCATCTTCACCATTGTCAGGTGCACAGCTTAGCGGCACTAAGCACAGTCACAGTGCTGTGCAGTGTCACCACCCTCTGTCTCCAGAACTTTCTCATCTTCCCAAACTGAAACTCTGCTCTGTCAAATAGTAACTCCCCCACCCCATAGTCCACTTTCTGTCTCAGTGAATCTGATGAGTCTGGGACCTCACGTAAGTGGAATCACAGCATTCATCTTTTCGTGTCTGGATTTTTCACTGACCATAACAACTTCAGGGTTTAATCCATGATGTGACACATGTCAGGGTTTCATGACTTTTTAAAGTCTCAGGACAATTTGCTGTCTGGAGGGACCATGTTGTATTTCTCCATTAGCAGTTGGTGGCTGTCTGGCTTGTCCCCTCCTTTCAGCAGTGGTGAAGATGCTGCTGGTATCACACATGAACTTGAGGAACAGTTTCCACTTCTTTGGGCTATGTCCCCGAGGATGGACTGGCTGGGTCACAGGTTGTTCTGTGGTAATGTGGAATTCTAACAAATCCCAACTCCTTTCCACAGCACCTGTGCTGTTTTGCATGATGACCCCTAGGCACACAGCCCAACTTCTCGCATCCTCCCTGAGGCTTGTTAAATTCTGTTTGGAGGGTTTTACTTATTATTATAGCTGCTTCATGGTGGGGGGGGGGGCGTGTCTTCTTCTGGTTTGGACTTGCATTTCCCTAGTGACTAAAACATGAAGCGTCTTGATATGCTGATGGCCAGTCTGTGTATCCTCCTTGGAGGAATAATCTATTGAAGCTCACTGCCCATTCTTGGAGTGGGCTGTCTTCTTGTTGCTGAGTTCTTCACGTATTCTGAGTACTGGGTCTTTATCAGATAGACGATTTGCAACTGCTTTGTCCAATTCTATAGGTTGTTCTGAATTATATTTTCTAAGTAATTTTAAAGTTCCTGTCAGACTCCAAAATTCACAGTTCTGGCAGCTTTTCTCATTTCTTGGGGTGCTTCATAATTGTGCCAGACTTTGATGCATAGAGGCACGTAGGAGGGACTAGAGGGCCCTGGCATGTCTGAACAGGGTGGCCAGTGTGGCTTTTAGGAAGGAGGAACAGACAGGCAGTCTGCCGCACTGAGCGGGGGCCACAGAGACCGGACCCCACGTGGCCTTGCCTCACTACCCTGGGTCTTGCCTTCCCTCTTCCATGTTGGCTCAAGTGAGCGCAGCCCTGTGCAGCCACATCTGGTGGAGAGCTGGGCAGTGGGGCAGTAGCAACAGGTTTTGGCGGGTGTCCATTTGTTCCTTCTTTCATTCATTCATTCCAGATGCTTGGTGAGCTCCTATCTGCCAGGGCCGAGCAGGTACTAGGATGTAATTGTCCCCTGGTGGGAGCCACGGACAACAAAAAGTTGACCACAGGAACAGCTTTGTGGCTATAATTGCAAAAGTCCTATGTGGCCCAAGGGCAATGTGTGTATTACCGGGGCCTGCTGCTGCAAGGTGGGGAAGTGGCCCATGGGGCCTGAGGAAGGAGCAGGGGCTGCCCAGCCACAGGGAAGAGCATTCTAAGCTGGGGGACAGCACGTACTCAGGCAGCAAAGGGCACCATGCACAAGAATCCCAGCTCAGGGACTCGCAGGTAGGGACTCAGGGCTCAGTCTGGGCTCAGTCTGGGCCCCCAGAGGCCGTCTCCTGGCAGGGTCTGGCATACAGGTCGTGGCTTCTTCCTGTCACTGTCCTCAGCCCAAGATTGCTTGTGGGACAGAGTCCCTGCAGGTGCAGGTCTTGCACCCCTTTTTTCCTGTGAGCCTATGTTTCTCACCTGCCTAAGAGAGTGCCTGGTTTAATCCCAGCTCTGCTTCTGGGAGCTATGTGACTTTCGGCAGGTTTCTGAACCTCTCTGTGCCATAGTTGCCTCCTCTGCAGAGTGTGGATAACGGTAATCTATTAAGATACTTGCAGCTGTGCACACAATCACAAACCATGCACACAGCATTCCCTGCACCCTCCCTCACAGCCTCTGTGCACTTGGGGATTGTCTGTCTCTCCCTCAAAGGGTCATGTTGGCTTTGCTTTCTGATCCGACTGCCTAAAGCCAAAGGTCAGCACAGTGCTGCCAGGACAACCAGCAATGGAACAGTCTGAGTCCCAGCCCTGCTACTTGTTCACTGTGCAACCCTGGGAAGTTACTTCACCACCCTGTCCACAGAATGGGGTGATCATGGACCCACCTTGTGGGTCGTTGGAAAAATAGGTGAGTGCATCAGGCAAGGTATCTGCATAGGGCCTGGCACACCTGTGCAGACAGGGCTCTGACTCTGCCGTCATGATTAGGACGGGCCGCAAGACCCCCAGTTCCTACTACCCCTAGATGGGGCTCCTTCTGCCCAGAGCAGACCATTCCTGGCCCTGGAGGCCCCAGGCAGCTATAGTGAAAGCCCCAGGATTTCCAGCAGGAGAGCAGGGCAGGGTGGCCACACTTGTGTCAGGCTCTGCCACTGAACAGCCTGTGTTCCAGATACTCAGTGCTGCAGTTCAACTGTGAAAGTGCTACAGACAACACAGTGTGTGGACGGTGTGGCCATGTGCCCAGAAAACTCTATTCATGGATACTGAAAGTTGAATTTCATACGATTTTCACATCTTACAAAATATTATTCTTTTGATTTTTTTCCAACCACTTAAAAACAGGGAAGCTGTTCTCAGATTATAGGCCACACAGAAGCAGGTAGCAGGCAGGACTCTGGTCATAGCTTGCTGTCCCCCAGCTGTAGACTGTAGACCTGGCTGTGTGTCCCAGGCCTCAGTTTCCCCATTTGCAGGAGGACTGTGGCCCTTGCCAGCTCTAGGAACCAGGGATTGCTACTCTCTGCCTGTGTAGTCAGCTATGTGCCAGGCCTGGGAGAGGACCAGCACTGACCTCCACGTGCAGTTCCTGGGAGTGGGGTGAACGTCCCCCAGCACAGCCTGCACTTGTGCCTTGACCCTGCCCAGAGCTGGACACATAACGATGGCCACGAAGTGGACACCTAGGACCCATGGGGAAGGAACAAAGGGTCAGGGAAGCTGTTCCTTTGGGTGGAAGCAGTGTGGCCCCCAGAAACCCAGCATGAGGCCTTGTCACCATCCCACAACTGCCACTGAACTCCCCTCTGCAAGGTGCAGCCCTGGCACTCTGGCCACCCTTACTCAGGCCTCCTGAGTGCCCTCCCCATCAGGGCCGTCCTCCATACCTGTTGGCTCAGCCCTGACACTCAGTGGCACTCTGTTTCCTTCCTGCCTTTACCACCTGCCTTGTCCCTGCATATGCTGGGGCAGGCAGGTCCCCATATTTCTATTGCTGTGTGCCCAGGATAGGTGCCCAGGGAAGGGGCTCCTTCGGCTACCCTGTTCCTCCATCCCTCATGGCACCCCTATAAGTGCTGGTAGATGGGACAGAGGGTCCTAAGCAGGGTGGCAGGATGGGAGCATCAATCCTATACCCCCGCCCTCTGCATCCCCAGGCTGCACCCTGATGTCCTGTCCCCCACACCTGCATCTTTCCTTTGCAGGCAGAGTACAGGCTGTGCAATGGATCTGACAAAGAGTGTGTGTCACCAACAACCAGGGTCACCAAGAAGGAGGCTCTCAAGGTGGGCCAGGCCTGCGGAGGGGCTCAGCTATATCATTGAGGAATGGGCAGCTGAGTCAGGGTGCCACACCCTGCCTGACAAAGGGAAGGGGACGAAGCCTGGGCTGTGCAGTGGGAGGAGCTGTGGGCAGCTGGGGCCTCCGCCCTGATTTGTCCTCTTGGCGCTCGGCCCAGGTACAGAAGGAAAACTACCGGCAAGAGAAGAAGCGAGCTACTCGGCAGCTGCTGCGCGCCCTCACGGACCCTGGAGTGGTCATCATGGCTGACAGCCTGAAGGTGGGGCTGCGCTTGACCTGGGCATAGCGTCTGTTTGCTTGTCACTGGGGATCTGGATCCAATTTCTGGGGCTACCATAACAAAGGAGCACAAACCGGAAAGCTCAAAACAACAGAAATGCAGGCCGGACCTGGTGGCTCACACCTGCAACCCCAGCACTCTGGGAGGCCAAGGCAGGAGGATGCTTAAGCTCAGGAGTTTGAGACCAGCCTGAGCAAGACGCCATCTCTACTAAAAACAGAAAAACTAGCCAGGTGTTGTGGCAGGCGCCTGTAGTCCCAGCTACTTGGGAGGCTGAAGCAAGAGGATCACTTGAGCCCAAGAGTTTGAGGTTGCTGTGAGCTATGACACCACAGCACTCTACCCAGGGCAACAGAATGAGACTCTGTGTGGGGGAAAAAAAAAACAAAAACAGAAATGTGTTTCCTCCCACTTGTCCCATCCCTCCAGGGATGGCCTCGCCCCATGTGGTCTCTCTGCCTCTCTCCCCTTTCTGTGTAAGGAGCTGGGCCCCAATAGGGCTATTGTCACTTCACTGCACCTGCAAAGATCCCATTTCCAGGTAGAGTAGGGTCTGCTCAGCTGGGTGACGCACGAGCAGGGAGGCAGCCTGCTTGTGGTGGCCAGGTCCAGATCAGGAGGCCTGTGTTCAATCCCTGACCCTTGGTTTCCCCTCTATATAGTGGAATGACACTGCCTAGCCCCATGACTGCTGGGCAGAGCACAGGGCCTGGCCTGAGCAGGCTCCTTCCATCTCACACACCAAAAGTACGATGAAGAAATGGTGTGCAAAAGTGAACATATATTTAGAATGAGAAAAAAATGACAGCTGGGAAAAAAAATGACAGCTGGTTTCAAAATTTACAAAGCTGATGATAGCAACATCATGGGCCCCTCCCAGGAGCCAACTTGACTCTCACCAACATCATGGGTTGCCTAGCTGCTCTGTATTTCTCTGGATTCACCCTAATTTGCTTTCTCCTGCCACACAGCAGGCTGGAGTTCTGCTGAGTCCCCAGGGCACTGTCTGACCCCTGCCCTGCACACAGGAGGCTGGGACACTAGTCCAGGGCACAGGGACCAACGGGGGCCTTGATAGTGGTGCCCTCTTCACAGATCCGTGGGACCTTGAAGAGCTGGACCAAGCTGTGGTGCGTCCTAAAGCCAGGGGCACTGCTCATCTACAAAACACCCTCTGGCGGCCAGTGGGTAGGCACTGTGCTGCTGCACTGCTGTGAGCTCATCGAGCGGCCCTCCAAGAAGGACGGCTTCTGCTTTAAGCTGTTCCACCCGCTGGACCAGTCTGTCTGGGCTGTGAAGGTGTGTAGGCCAGGGCAAAGGAGAGGGGGAGCAAGGACAGGGGAGAGGGTGTGGGGGAGTGGGCATGGGAGCAGGCTATCTCTCCAGATGGGCTCTCACTGCCACTGTGGGACCCCAGGCACATCTCTTAACTTCCCCGAGCCCCAGTGGGGCACACAGCAGGTCACAGGTCCTTTACTCATCCCATCCAGGAGGGAGGAGGCTGCTGCTTCTGGAGTAGTTGAGGAACAGGCCATGTGTTCTGCTGCCTGAGCCCAGACCTCATCCCTCATAACCAGAGGCTGCCCTGGCTAGGGCCAACTGGGGCAGGATGGCCAGGGATAACCCAGGATGCCCAGAGAAACAGCAAAGTTTCTCAGTGCAACTATGCCCCAAATATCTCATGGAACATTCTTATACTGAAAAGCTGTTCATTGTTTCCCTGAGATCTGATTCCAGCTGGGCTTCCTAGGTTTGCACTCACTGATTTGGGAGGCTCAAGAGCTGCTGGCCAACCATGGAGCAGAGAGTTCCCTGCCCACTCTCCTCTCACTGCCCACATGTCTGCCTGACCAAGTGCCTAGCCCTGCCTAGGGGGGTCCGGAGACCCCAGGAGGTCCACATGAGTCCAAGTATGGGTCTACACAGTTCTGCTGGCCTATTTGTGCATCTGTCCCTGGGCGTTACCCCCAGTGACACTGAGCCTCTGCTTTCCAGGGCCCCAAAGGCGAGAGTGTGGGCTCCATCACGCAGCCCCTGCCCAGCAGTTACCTGATCTTCAGAGCTGCCTCCGAGTCAGATGGTGAGTCCCTGCCGGCCCCTGTCAAAGTAGATCAGGGTTGCAGCCCAGGTGCAGGTAGGCCCAGTTCAGGCCCTTCTATTGTCACCCAAGAAACACCCTGAAATCACAGGGAAAGCTGGCTTAGGAGCCAGGCAGGCCCGCCACTCACCATGACCCCTCTTTGAGCCTCAGCTTCCCTAGGGGCAAAATGTGACTGATGACCCTAGTCACCCCAGTGTGAGGAGCATCCAGTGACCATGTAAAGCAACCAGGTGCCAATTACTGAGCTCCAACCAACAGCCAGGCACCATTGAACCACTGGGTTCTACTGTTACTGTCCACATTTGACAGATGGAAACGGAGGCACGGGCCACCACCAGGAAGAAGGTGCTAGAGCCTGAGTGTGACTTGGAACTTCCCTGACTCCCAAATGCATCTCCCGTTTGGCCCACACTAGGCAGTAGTGTGGTTCCTTCTTAGGGACACGCGCCTTCTAACAGGGAAGGCCTGGCCCCACATCACCCTCCAGGGGCTGCTCCAGCTGCTCTGAGCCCCCAGGGCTGGCTCCTAGCGGGGAGGGGCCCTGCCTAGAGCAGTGGCAGGTTGGATGCCACCCCCTGTGTCCTGCCCTGCCAGCCCAGCCTCGTACCCTTATGGTGTCACACCCACACTCCCCTCCCAGCCATCTGAGTCCTCTTCTGTAATGGCCATTCCCCAACTCTGTGCTGAGTCCCATGTGGCTGCCATGGACAGGGAAGCTAACAACCTCTGCATTCTAGTGGCAGATGAGCAGTGAGCCATCAGACAAGGCCAGGGCCATGACCAGGGAGGGTGTCCACAACCCCTGTGGGTATCAGGGTAGGCTTCCTGGAGGTGGTGGCAGAGGTATCAAAGGATTTGTAATAGTCTGGATACCTAGTCTTCTGTGGCAACCACAGTCACACGTGTCAGGACCTGGGGCCCAATTCAGCAGCTGTACCTGTCCCCTCAATTTCCTACCTGTACATGCTTCCCATGAGCCCCATGCCTATGAATGTACAGCCCAGACTGGGCACTCTTGTGAGTAGGGGCGCCACTGTTAACAGTCACAGTGTTGAGACACTCAGGTGGTGCTTGTCTAACCATGATGGCAGCATGGCGGGAGCCAAGGGCAAGAGTTCCAGGTGTCCAGCTCTGTTGACCGCCCCCCACACCTCTGTTCACACAGCCAGGAGCTGCCTCTCCTCTTGCTGTGGGAAGTGCCCCTCCTGGCCACTCTCTTACCCTAAGCTCCAGGCCATCAGGGACCCTGGGCACAGACTGCACATGCAGGGACCTGTGGGCTAGCTGTCTGAGTGGAGGACTGGCTCTCAGTCTTCCGGGCTTGAGACCTAGAGGGGTCACTTAGTATCCTGGCCCTTGTGAGTAACGTGGCCAGGATCCTCTGAGGCCCCTGCAGGGCCGCCTCCTCCACAGTGACTGACCTCTGTCAAGGCCTGCTCAGAAAGTCCTTGTCCACACAGGGTTCCTGACTTCTGCTCCCTGTGGATTCCCAGATAGATGGGGGCGGGGAAGGGCGGAGTCTCCCTGGTTGGGTAGAGGGTGGGATCCGTGAGATCCAGAGTGAGCAGGGTTTTCCTGGTAGCTCCCTGGAGATCGGACCCCTGGGACAGGGGTTGACTCACCCCGTGTTCCCCCCAGGCCGCTGCTGGCTGGACGCCCTGGAGCTGGCACTCCGCTGCTCCAGCCTGCTGCGACTGAGCGCCTGTAAGCAAGGCCGTGATGGGGAACCAGGGTCCTCGCCAGACGCATCGCCCTCATCACTCTACGGACTGCCTACCTCGGCTGCTATCCACCCAGACCAGGACCTATTCCCGTGAGTGGAGCAGGGGGGGCTCTGCTTCCCAGGGTCTCAGGGGGAGGGGGCAGAGGGCAGCCCCAGGCCCCACAGGCTGCAGGCTGGCGGGGTGACTTGTTCACTGCTGTGGCCTTGGTTGCCTTGCTGATAAAAGGGGCCAATAGTGTCACAGGCAGGCTGTCAAGTCTTAAATGCAGGAATGTGTGTGAAGGGCCCAGCCTGCCTGGGCTTCCTGGACTCCAGACCCATGATGTCATCCATCTTCTAGTTTTTGTTTTTGTTTTTTTTTTAAGGATCGTTTGACCCCCAAAGGGGTTGTGACCCACAGATTGGGAACCTCTGTTCCTTTATTTTATTTTATTTTTTTGGCTGGGCCTGGGTTTGAACCTGCCACCTCCAGCATATGGGGCCGGCGCCCTACCCTTTTGAGCTACAGGTGCCACCCCATCTTCCAGATTGAATGGGGTATCCCTGGAGAACGATGCGTTCTCAGATAGGTCGGAGCGAGAGAACCCCGAGGAGTCAGACACCGAGACCCAGGATCACAGCCGCAAGACCGAGAGCGGGAGTGACCAGTCGGAGACTCCCGGGGCCCCTGGGCACAGAGGGACCACCTATGTGGAGCAGGCCCACGAGGAGCTCGGGGAGGTGAGAGCCTCCCACCCAGTGCTCCAATCAGCCCCTCACCTCTGCCCCTCATTCCAGACACAGAGGTAACAATGCCAAGTCCTACAGAGGAGTCTCTTTGCCTACCCCACACTGGCCCAACGCTTGGGTGAACATACTCCCTTCTTCCAAGAGAGCCTGGGCTCACTGTGTACCTGCTGGCTAGCTGGCCTGGGGTTGTGGGATGGCACAGGAGTTCACTGCCGTGGGTGCCTCCCACAGGCTATAACATGCTGGCGGGAGAACAGGGGCTAAGGAAGATGGTCAGCTTCTGGGAGGGGCACAAAGGCTGACTGGGCACTTGCATACACCTGGCTCTGTCCTGAGTGTGGGGTAGACAGACCTGGGCCCTGTGTGTATCAGACGCCAGGAGGAAATACCACAGACCCACAAACAGAAGAGGTCAGGGAGCTGCAGGGAAGTGAGTGGGCCAGGGCCTACAACAGGGCACAGCTGCAGACCTGCAGCCAAGGTGGCTGGCTCACTGCACAGGGACACCTCTGGAGGGACGTACACGTTCTGGGCTTCACTGGGAGAGCAGGGGTAGGCTAAGAAGTGAGCTTTGCTTTGGATTGGGTGCTGTCAGCCACTGGGCGCTCTGCAACCTGGAATCTTGTCCTTCCCATCCAGACAAAAGGAGCAAGGCTCAGGTTGTCCTTGGTGGAGAAGAGACAGCCCCTGGTTTGAGCAAGAAAAGGGGATTTGGGTCCTTGTCACTTGGGACAGGGTCTTGTCTGCTTCTTACTCCACCAGAGGTATGGAGTGGTCTTGTCTGGTGCCCTGCGTGTTCAGAAGGAAACCCTACATCCCCGTGGGTGCCAGGCCACTCTGGCTGTCCGGCTGCTGTCCTCACAGGACAGCAGTGCTGCAGAAAAGCACTTTTCCCAGCACTGCAGAAAAGTGCTGGGAAAAGCAGGTCAGGCAGAGGGGTTGATGCCAATACCGAGCTCTGTAGGGAGGAGCTGTTGTTAGGAGGAAGCTACTTAGACCCCCAGCATGATGGAGAAGGGAAAGTGGATGGATTCAGAGCACTTAGGGGATTGGATCATGCAGGTCCCTGCCAGATGCCGTTATGAGACAAGCATGGCAGGCCGAGGACAGGGGAGATGCCGCTGCCCGTGAGTCTGGGGCTCAGGCAGAGGTCTGGGTGCCAGGGCACAGAGTCAATACCCCAGCTTCAGAAGCTGAGCACAGATGGCAGAGGAGCCGGAGGTGGGAGGAGCACAAGGTTCCAGGACCACCAAGAATCAGGGCAGGGTGAGCAGTAGTTGTGTGCTGTATGAAGAGGGGGTGAAGAGATTCCTGCCAGTGCTGGTACCCATGAGAACCCCAGAGCTGACCTGGAAATTGAGGCCAGGGAGCCACAGCTCAAGGGATTAATGTGGGCACACCTGGGAGTTCCCTGACCCTAGTGGGGAAGTCTGCTAGACCAATGTCACAGGACTGGTCCATAGCTATGCATGCACAGAGGGGCAGAACAACTTGCCTGAGGCAGCCCAGCAGGGTGGAGCCGGACCCTGAGGCAGGGCCTGCTGCTGGCACCCCATCCTGCTGCCTCCCAGGGCAGCTGCCATTGGGCTAAGAGTACAGATGGTCCCAGTCCGAGTCTCCCCTCTGCCCCACACCAGCTGTGTAACCTTAGGCAAGTCACTTGTCCCTTCTGTGAAGGGGGCAGGACCAATGTTGTCTTGTGTGCCCTGAGGCTGACGAAAAGTGGATCTATAGCAAGAAAAGGGATGTCTCAGGAAGGAGGGGGTCCAGACGGCCACTCACTTCTAGCAATGAGGGAGGCTTTCTACAGGACGTGGGGACTTGTGGAGGTGATAGGCGAGGTTATAGCATTGACCCATAACCTGCACTTAGCTCCAGACTCAGGAAGTTGTATACATTTGATATCTATAACTTCATGTGTCCTGATCATAACCCCAATAAAGTAGAGAGAGAAAGAAATTTGGAAATAGTAATAATGTTTTTTAAAAAAACAGAAGAGCAGGCCACCACCTGCATCTCCAGATCATCTGGAGCCCCCTAAACGCTGGGCCCAGAGTCACACAAAGTCCACAGATGAGTTTCAGCAGCCACGTTTTGGGAGGCCCCACTTGGACTCAGAGGAGCTGGTAAACAGAGGGGGCAGGGCCCCGGACAGGGAAGAGTCAGGTCAGATGCAGCTCAGGTAGGTGCAGAAGCCCATGACCAGGCCAAGGGTCTACAACTGAAGCTGGCAGGTGCCATCATCCCCTAGGCTGTCTCCAGCCAGAGTAGCTGCTGCTGTCCTGCCCACCCTTTGTCAGGGCCTGACTGCAGCCACTCTGTGCAGCTTGGTGAGGCCTCCCAGGTGGAGACGGTGTCGGAGGAGCACAAGAGTCTCATGTGGGTCCTACTGAAGCAGCTGCGGCCGGGCATGGACCTGTCCCGCGTGGTGCTGCCCACCTTTGTGCTGGAGCCACGCTCCTTCCTCAACAAGCTCTCTGATTACTACTACCACGCTGACCTGCTCTCCAGGTGAGCACCATGCCAGAGGGGACTAAGCCCTCAGCCCTGCCTGCCCATGGAGCCTTTCTTCACTGTCCCTGTGACTCTGGCCTCCTAGAGGGCCCTGTCCCCAAAGACCAGGCTGAGAGGAGCTGGTAAGGAGGAGTGTGATGGGGTAATTCTGAGGGCCATGGCCATTGGTGGTGAGCGTGGGGTCAATGCATCCCATGGCCTGTGCCCTCAGGTTGGACGGGTGGGCTGTAGAGGCAGGAAAGGGGCCAGGTGGAAGAAGCATGGAGGGCTTCCTGGAGGCGGGGGCACCCCCACAGCCCCGAGCCAGTAGTCTCTCTACCCCAGCACGGGAGCAGCCCTGGCACTTTAGGAGAACCCACTTCCCTGGAAAAAGCCCTTGGGGGGCTGGGAGTATCCAGCATACCTGGGCCTGGTGGCCTGCTTCAAGCTGAGTAGGTGGAGGTTGGATGTAGAAGGGGCTGAGGAAAGAGGGAAGGAAGGCTCAGAGCTCTCCCCGGGTTGCAGGGCTGCGGTGGAGAATGATGCCTACCGCCGCATGAAGCTCGTGCTGCGCTGGTACCTGTCCGGCTTCTATAAGAAGCCCAAGGTAAGAAGTACAGGCAGAGGGGTCAGCCCGTTCAGCCCTCTTCCCCTGGCATTGCTGCCTCCCCAGCCTTGAAGGATCTTCTCATCCTGCAGTGGGCCCTAATTCCCAGAGAGAAGCTCCTGGACAGCTCAGACCAGACCCCAGAGGCAGCCCTGGTTCCCTCAAAGGCCCAAACCAGGCTGTTCCCCACCCATAAGAGGGCAGCCTCGGGCTTGTCAGAGACACCCCCTCACAAGATGGTGCCTTAGGGACCTGTAGTTTTCAGCTTTTAGTCATAGAACCCATTTTTAGAGCCCAAAACCCCAGACTCAGATGACAGCAGGGCTGGGGCTGCTCTGGTTGTGGTGAGGGGGCGGGGCCTCCAGCCCACCCAGTCCACTTACCCCACTACTGAGCCCTGGCGTTCCATGGGACACAAGTATGAAAACCACAATTCTGTTTCCACCTCTTCATTGTGCAGCTGGGGAAATCGAGGCTCAGGGAGGGAAGGAACATCCCAAGTCACACAACAGGCTGCCAGTGGTACTGGGTCTCCTGACAGCATGGTGCCTTCTGCAGGCAGCTTTCAGCAGGATATGTGTGGGCTGCACCCAGAGTCTGGGGTGACCTGGTTGGGGCATCATGTCCCCCTCTGAGCCGAGAAGTAGACAGGATGCCCTGAGGCTGCCCCCAGAATGTAAACCACCCACAAAGCATAGGCTCCCCAAAGCAGAAGTGGGGTGCTGTTCCCAGCTGCTGGGAGCAAACCAGGTCATCTCTTCTGGAGACCAGGATGCACGCAGCCCCCACACGCCGTCCCACAGTCCATGTCACACCCACACGGCATCCGTGGCTGGTCTCTGGACAGTGAGCCCCTCCCTCCAACTCCACGTTTCTGTTCATTGCCTCCAGGGAATCAAGAAGCCCTACAACCCCATCCTGGGGGAGACCTTCCGCTGCTGCTGGTTCCACCCCCAGACCAACAGCCACACGTTCTACATAGCAGAGCAGGCAAGAGCCCCCGCTGCCCAGGCTGGATGTGGGTCTGCCTGGCAAAGGGGGGTGCTGGGCCTGGCAAGGCAGGTGACCCCAAGAGCACATTTCTCCGGGGCCTGCCCATGAGAAGGCCTCTGGACCCATCTGCTGCCCATGGAGATCTCCTGGAAGGTGTGGACACAGCCCGGCAGCTGTGGCAGCAGGTGGTGTCTCCCTAGGAAGAAGAATGGTGCATCCCTTTTCCAAGGGGTGCTCTGGGCTGATTTAAGAACTGGAAGTCTCAGGCCCAGCTCCCCCGGGCATCAGGAGCAAGAGCCTGGGAGCCTCACCCAGACCTGAGACTGGGCGGGATGTGGAGTCGAGGGGGCATTGGACAGCCGGGGCATCAGACAGGCCTGGCCCTCACCTCACCTGAGGCCATTTCCAGAGTCCCCTCTCCACACACAGGTGTCCCACCACCCGCCTGTGTCTGCCTTCCACGTCAGCAACCGGAAGGATGGCTTCTGCATCAGTGGCAGCATCACAGCCAAGTCCAGGTTCTATGGTGAGACCCTCACCCTGGGGATACCCAGACCTCAAGTGGTGGCTGTGTGCATGTCCCTGCCCAGTCAGAGGCTACATGGATGGTAACAGTGCTCAGATTCTGGCCTTGGCAGGGCCAGTCCTGAGCCCAGCGCCCCCAGTGGAGAGTGGGCACTGTTTGCAGGGATACTGTGAACAGGGAAGACTAGAGCCGACAGGTCTGGTTGGTAGCTTCTGGCCCCGTATGGCTATTTAAAGTGAATAAGATGAAATAAAACTTAAGATGCAGCCCCTCAGTTGCAGGGTACCCATCACTCAGACTCAGAGGTCATACATGCCTGGTGCCCCCAAGTGGAACAGGCAGGATAGAACATTCTGGCCTTTGCAGAAAGTTCTGTTGGACAGTGCTGCTCAGAGAGGTGTGGTCGCTCAGAAATTGTCCATTTCCACTTTTTCTCATCAGGCATACTTTTGTTATTGTCATCTGTGGACAGGTAACACCTGAGCCACGCTGTGTGCCCAGCTGTCTGTGGGGTGTACAGAGAACACCTCTGTCCGCAGAGGGGTTAGTAGGTGGCATCTGCCCACAGGCTCAGCCCATTTCCCCCACCCACGTCCCTCACCAGCAATGCCTGTGATTTTCGACCCAGAGTGGGTATACCCCCTCAGCAGGGGTATTTAAAATCCCAGAGAGGCTCAGGCTTTTCAGAAAGGTTTGTAGCTCCTACCCTCAGAATCTCTGGTTTAATAACTGAAATAAACCATTAAGACATGAAAAGTTAAATAACTTCTCTGAACAGATGACACGTGCACACTGGCCAGGGTCTGAAGTAGCTCAGATCCTGTGACTTCACTGTCTCTGCAGGGAACTCGCTGTCGGCTCTGCTGGACGGCAAAGCCACACTCACCTTCCTGAACCGCGAGGAGGATTACACCCTCACCATGCCCTACGCCCACTGCAAAGGTGAGAGCCGGGCCGGCCCTTCAGAGAGAGCTCTGGGTGCTAAAACCTTTGGTTTGCAGTTGTTTAAAGGACCCTTTATTCCACCTCACTTGTCAATTCCAGGCAGATGGCTGTGTTCCTCCCCTCTGGACACACTTCTTTTGCCTTCTGGCTTCCTTGGCGTTGGTGACCCGTCAGCTGTCAGCCTATTTGCTGCAAATCTGCTTTTCTCTGTAGCTACTTTTGAGCTAGTCTCTTTGTCTTTGGTGCTCTACCAGCTCACTTTAGTGTATCAAGGTTTGGATTTCTTCTTTATTTTTAATTAACGGACTATTTCTTATAGCAGTTTTATGTTTACAGAGAAATTGCACAGAGAGTACAGAGTCCCCACACCCCCCCTGCAGGTTCCCTGCAGTCTCCCCTGTGAACATCTGGCCGTGGCTCACTCTCTCTGCACAGCTGCTGGTACAGTGTTGATACAGTATTGTTAACTGGAGCCCACAGTGTACAGTGGGGCTCACTCTTGTCTATACATTCTATGGATTTTGACAAATATATACTGACATCACCCACCTTTGCAGTGTCATACAAAATTGTTTCACTGCCCTAAAAATCTCTTGTTATGGGCTGGACACGGTGGCTGACCCCTGTAATCCCAGCACTCTGGGAGGCCGAAGCAGACAGATAGCCTGAGCTAGCTCAGGCATTTGAGACCAGCCTGAGCAAGAGGGAGACTCTGTCTCTAAAAATAGCCAAGTGTTGTGGGGGACACCTATGGTCCCAGCTGCTTGGGAGGCCAAGGCTAAAGGATCACTTGAGCCCAAGAGTTTGAGAGTTTGAGGTTGCTGTGAGCTGTGATGCCATAGTACTCTACCAAGGGCAACAAAGTGAGACTGTCTCAAAAAGCAAATCCCTTGTGATTAGACAGGAATAGATGAGTCCACCTGCTCATCCCACCCCCATCAAGCCCTGACAACCACTGATCCTTTTACTGTCGTCATAGTTTTGCCTTTTCCAGAATGTCATGTCTTGGGGATCATGTGGTACCAGCCTTTTCAGGTCGGCTCCTTTCACTTATAATGTCCATTTAAATATTCCTCTTTTTGTAGCGTGAAAGCTCTGCTTTTCTTTTTTCTTTTTCATGATTGAGGGCTTTGTTTGTTTTAACTCCCTGAATCTGAGGTTTCATGGCTTTGGTATGGAAATCTGGGGCCTGGAAATTCTAGTCTGGCAATTTATAGCCATTATTCTATTTGTTCATTTTTTGAGACAAGGTAGGGCGCTATCACCCAGGCTGGAGTGCAGTGGCACATTCATAGCTAGTGCAGCCTCGAACTCCTGTAGTCATTACTTGTTTTCCTTACCGTTGAATTCAAAGCCATTTTTTACAATACTGCCTCATTCCTAATTTCTCCATATTTTCTAGAATTTCAACGAGATATTTGGTACACTGTCTCCTTCCCAGCTCTGTATCTTGCAGTATTCCCAGCATATCTTTTATTTCTCTGTGTTCTAGATGATTTCTTTAGATTTTTTTTTTTTTGAAACAGAGTCTAACTATGTCGCCCTCAGTAGAGTGCTGTGGCATCACAGCTCACAGCAACCTCAAACTCTTGGGCTTAAGCGATTCTTTTGCCTCAGCCTCCCAAGTAGATGGGACTATAGAACCTGATACAATGCCCAGCTACTTTTATTGTTTTAGTTGTCATTGTTGTTTAGCAGGCCCCAGGCCAGGTTTGAACCTGCCATCCTTGGTGTATGTGGCCGGCACTGTAACCATTGTGCTACGGGCACCAAGCCTCTTTAGATCTACTTTAATAAACCTGATGTTTGACTCACCCACCAAGTTTCAGTCTTGACATTTAGTTTCCCTAGACATTCTGCTTGCTTCAGTTTCAAACCTGCCTGCTCTTTGGTGCCTATACCTTGTTCCCTGATCCCATTTACAGTTCCTTCTTATAAATCTTTGAATGTTATAAATAAAATTGTTCCATCTTCTCTCTCTCTAGTAATTCTCATATTCTGGGATTCTAACTTGTGTGCTGCTGTCTTCCTACCGCCCACAGAGGTCCCTTAGCAGATGCTAAGTGAGTGACTCTATTTAGTAAAACCCTGAGATTCTGATTTTGCTGGGAGATTTTCTGGGCTCTCATAGAAAATGTGTGAATCTCAAACTCAACTTACACATTCACAAAGAATTTTGTCTTTATTTTTAACCCCTAGAGCCCAGGCCAATCCAAACATTCCTTCCACACTGAGTGGGCTCCTGCAGCTCCTCCCCTGCCAAGGCACAGCTGGGGGAGAGCCCCTGTTCTGTGGAGACATCCCTAGACAGATTGTCCTGAGTACTACTCTGGCCCGAGAGCCTGTCACTGCTCCCCATGGGAACCTCAGAAACCAAGATCTTAGCGCAACAAATTCTCCCCCCCTCCTCCTTCTTCCCTCCCTCCTCTTCCTCTTTCTGGATGTCTCTTTGCTCATTTTCTGCTCTGGGGGATTTCCCTTGCTTTCTTGTACTCACACCTGCTCAGCTATGCATTTAAAAGACATTACATAAGGTCAGGAGTTCGAAACCATTCTGAGCAAGAGGGAGACCCCGTCTCTAAAAATAGCCAGGCATTGGGGTGGTTGGTGCCTGTGGCTCAGAGGAATAGGGTGCCAGCCCCATATGCTGGAGGTGGTGGGTTCAAACCCAGCCCTGGCCAAAAACTGCAAAAATAAATAAATAAATAGTCAGACATTGTAGTAGGTACCTGTAGTCCCAACCACTTGGGAGGCTGAGGCAAGAGGATCGCTTAAGCCCAAGAGTTTGAGGTTCCTCTGAGCTGTGATGCCACGGCACTCTACCAAGGGCAACTGAGTGAAGAAAACAAAGAACATTATGTATTTTTTCAAGCTGTTATCATGGCAACCTTGAAACAGATATGAAAGTACAGTCCTGTACTCACAGCAGGGCAAGCCACCTGTCACGTTTCCCATGACCCCTACTCACTCTCCCTCTTATTACCATGTTTCCCTGAAAATAAGACACTGTCTTATATTTATTTTTTCTCAAGAAGACACACTAGGGCTTATTTTCAGGGATGTCTTATTTTTATTAAGTATAATACAACAATCTACATTTATTCAAATGACAGTTAAGACATTTAAGTCATTTTCTTCTGGAACCTGAGAGGGGAGCCCACCTTGTTGGTGGGCTGGTGCTAGTGATGCGTGAACTCCTTTCCCCTTGCCGTTCGCACGTGTGCAACAGGATGCCTGTGACCACACACACACCCACGCAAGTGCAAACGGCTCAGAGAAAGGAGCTGCAGCAGATAAAAGGTATTGCAGTCTTCCTTACAGCTCTGTGCCGAAATGCCCATCATTAGGTCTTATTATTGGGGTAGGGCTTATATTTAACAAATGCATAGAAATCCTGCTAGGGCTTATTTTTTGGGTAGGTCTTATTTTCGGGGAAACACGGTAACTAGAAGCTAATCTCAGACATTTGTCTATGTATTTTATCGTGTATCACTCCAAGATAAAGATTTTCCTTTATATCATAACCACCAGGCTACTATCATCATACATAGAAAATGAGAAATTGAGGCTTTCTCTTTCACACCAGAGATTGAGTCTGCTGAGAGCTCCCTGATGGCCCCATGCTAGTGTGCTGCCAGGCACATGCGGCATAGCTTGCCAGTCTGAGTGGGGTTCCACCTCAGGCTCGCTCTGCTCTCAGCCACTGTCCTTTACCTTTCCTTGGTGTCTCCACTGCTGTTCCCCTTGCATTTTCTCACAGTTCCTCCAGGCTGGATCTTAGTGGCTGTGTCCCTCTATCCAGGCTGTGTCCGGGATATTTCCTATAAACTGTAAACTGACTTGCTCTATAGATGCTCAGCGCAGTTTTTTCCCCAAGACTCTCTAGGGCTCCATGTCTGCCCACAGCAGGGAGGTGCCGTTGTTCTTTATGATGCTAGTGGGTGTTGATTCTCAGTACCTGGAGGTGTTAATTTATGAGACATGGCAAGGTGGTGACATCCTTTTTGTTTTGGGGGAGTTTTTGAGACAGTCTCACTTTGTCACCTTGGGTAGAATGCCATGGCGTCATAGCTCACAGCAACCTCAACCTCTTGGGCTCAAGTGATTCTCTTGCCTCTGCTTCCCAAGTAGCTGGAACTACAGGTACCCACCATGCCTAGCTATTTTTAGAGACGGGGTCTCAGTCTTGCTCAGGCTGGTCTCAAACTTGTGAGCTCAGGCAATCTACTCGCCTCAGCCTCCTAGAGTGCTAGGATCATGGGTGTGAGCCACTGCACCCGGCCTTCTTTTTTTTTTTTTTTAATTGTTTGGGATTCATCGAAGGTATGAATTCATACCTTATAATTATGTCCCGCCCCTAAGAGGTGTACCATACACCATGACTTCCCAGCAGAAGGCTCTCTAAAGAAAAACTTCTGTCCAGGCATGTAGTGGCTCATGCCTGTAATCCCAACACTCTGGGAGGCTGAGGCAGGTGGATCCCTTGAGCTCAGGAGATTGAGACTAGCCTGAGCAAGAGTGAGACCCTGTCTCTAAAAATAGCAGAGTGTTGTGGCAGGAGCCTACAGTCTCAGCTACTCAGGAGACGGAGGCAGGAAGATGACTTGAGCACAGGAGTTTGAGGTTGCTTTGAGCTATGACTCCACAGCACTCTACCAAGGGAGACAGAGTGAACACTGTCACAGAAAAAAAAATGAAGAGAAAGTTCCCTTGGTCTACTGTGTGGTTACCCAGTAGGTTCAGTTGGTTTTAGGATAAATGCCAAATTTTTTCTAAATGAGTCTTTACCCTGCTGTCCTCCAGAGGCGATGGTTGTGACGGTCAGTATCATTGTGGTGTTATTTGCTAAGAACGTATTTGGTATTTTCTAGTCACTCCAGTCATCATCCTCACAAATGCATTGTTCCACCTTGGCCACTGGGAGCCACGGTTGGCTTCTGGGCCCTTCTACACATCTGGCCACTGTACCTCCTTCCTGCTGGCGTAACTACATGAGCACCTTGGATGCTTGCTGTGCTGGACCCCACTCAGCCCTTTCTCCAGGGAGCCCCCAGATTCCTCCTTGTAGGAAGATTTAAAGACCACAGCTGGAGGGCAGATATGTTTCTCTTTTTGTCTATTTTTTTATTGTGGTAAAATACACATAATAAGATTGACCATCTTCATCAGTTTTAAGTGGACAGTTTAGTGATATTAAATGTGTTCATGATGCTGTGCTGCCATTACCACCATCCACCTTCAGATCTGTTTCTTACAAGTGGTTTGGTCATTAATTCTGAGACTTTTCAGTGAGCTGAATGTAGAAGTCTTTTCTGTGTGAGTGTAAAATAGATCATGAGTTTGTGTTTGCATTCATAATCCAGATTCAGGATGGGAGCGTCTCAGCAATCCTATTGATCTGACGCCCGAATCATTCATTCCCTCCCAGGCCAAAAGGCCCAGTTTTTAGCATCACAGCCGTGGCGACTTTTGTTCATATCTCACATCACACACGTGTCAGTCTGGACCCTCACAGCCGGCCCTGCCAGCCACACACAATAGCTCTCACATCACACA